TCATTAAAAAGTTTATCAAAATAACTCACTCACCTATGTTGAATATCTTTTTCTAAGAAAAGTACTTTTTGATTTTCATCTTTAATACACTTTACTTGAGTTAAATCTTTACTTTTCTTTTCTCTTTGTTTGGCTTGTTTATACATATATTTTTCACCCTTCTTAGTATATAATCTATTATAAAAATCATTAAAAGCAGAATTTTTAGCATCACAGATTGTTCTTTTAGACTCTCAGCGGGTCGTTTGATATTTTTTCTAATTCTCTAAGCTTTTACATTTATACCAATTTTTATAACATAACTTCTTATATTTTATCTTTTCTTGCACATTATTATTCCACCACCAACTATTTTTATTTATAAAATTTTTTTCTTTTGATTCTCCTAGCACATAATTTGTTACTTGTTTAGTAGTGTGTTACTTTATCTCACATAATATTTGTTTCTTTATGAACATCCCAATTTTTGAAATCTTGAATTTTATTCATAAAAATAATTTTATTTGTATCTTTTAGGTTGCTCCATCTAATTCTACGATGATGAGTCCTAGTCATCTTAAAATCTAGAACTAATAAATGATGTTGGGTACTTAAATTCTCGCTTGGAATGACCTTACAATCTTTACAATCTCAACGATCTCTTCTTCTCATAAGAAAATTGATTACCTTCTTTATTAGTTACTCCAAAATCGTAGCCATCATGAGTATTTTTGAAGTCTTCTATCACTTTACCGACATGTCCATTTAAATCTCTTCCAATAAAAATTCTTTCTTCAAGAGGTATCATTTATATTAAGGCTTTTAAGTCATTCCAAAAATTATCTTTAGACCTTGTATCTAAACCTACTTGAGGAGCATAAGCACTTATAATATTAAAAATCTTATTATCAATGATAATCTTAAAGGTTATAATTCTATCTCTAACTCTATTAATTTTTATAATATTATCTTTCAAACTCTTATCTATAATTACACCCACAACATTTCTAGTGCGACTCTTACCAGAATACCAAAGTTTAAAACCTAAACTATCAATTTTCTTAGTCTTTTCTCCAACCCATTTAGTTTCTTGAATACATAAGATATTAATTTTTTTATGAATCATAATATCAACTAATTCCATTAATTTACCATTGAGAGTACCTAGATTCCAAGATCCTATCCAAATATTAGTTTGCTTAGTTCCATGGACTAACTTCTTTACTCGCATTCGTCCGTAATGTGGAAACACTTGCTTATTTGACACTACACTCGGGCGCCAGTGTAGTGTTATTCAAACTATGGTAAGCACAATTCTGGTGATAATTTACGGGCGAGCGAATGTCAACTAATTCCATTAATTTATCATTGAGAGTCTATATTCCAAGATCTTATCCTAATATTTGTTTCCTTAGTTCTATGAACTAAGTTTTTTACCCGCATTCGTCCGTAATGTGGGAATCCTTGCTTATTTGACACTACACTCGGGCGCCGGTGTAGTGTTGTTCAAACCAGGGTAAGCACAATTCTGTTGATAATTTACGGGGCGGGCAAATATCAACTAATTCCATTAATTTACCATTGAGAGTACTTATATTCCAAGATCCTATCTTAATATTAGTTTCCTTAGTTCCATGGACTAACTTCTTTACCTGCATTCGTCCGTAATGTGGAAACCCTTGCTTATTTGACACTACACTCGGGTGTCGGTGTAGCGATAGTCAAACCATGGTAAGCAAAATTCTGCTGATAATTTACGGGGCGGGCGAATGTCAAAATTAAAAATATATATATATTGGTAACAACCAAACCTTTAATGTGACTTATCACCGCTCCGATTTATTAGTTTAAAAGATGTTATGTACCATTACAGATGAGAGAGATGGGTTCATCTTCAAAGCAATTGTATTGGAAAAAGTTAAACTTGAAAAGACTATTGGTTTGGTAATAGCATCACTTTTTCGTATTAAGTTGGCACTTGAGAGGGCATTGGCAAATAAAGTTGCAACCCATTTGATTCAAATTAAAGTTTGATCATAATTAAAATAAAAGATGCAATTAGCGGGTTCTCATTGAGAAACAAGCTAACGTTGCATTTTACAGGCTTTTTTTTTTTTTTTCTTGCTTTTTATTTGTAGTAGGATCTAAAAGAGCAAAAAAAAAATTTAATTGAACCCCCAAAGTGCCAGCCAACATTGATAACACCTTCTGGTGTAGGATTTGAGAGAATTTGTTTGCATAAGAAAGCAATCTATGGTGGTCAACTATTCATCATAAACTTTAAATATATATAGCAGGAAAGTACAATGATAGAAAGTTATATTATTATTATTATTTTATATACTCACAATAGACAATATTATCCTCACCTATCTTAATTTTGTATACATTCTTTATAACTATACATAAGCATTTACATTTATGCAGCAAAAAGAAGTTACTTATCGCTCTAACACAAGTCATATTGCCCTCCTAATGGTTTTCTTCAAATAAATTAGGTCAAGGATTAAAAACATGTGCATGCAAAATCCCTAGAAATCCAGTGTATCTCTGATACTTTTTTTCTGTGCTATAATTTTAGAAATATCGCCTCATCAAATGTGTGAATTTGGGGTATTAAATGCCCGACATCATAAATGTACATTTAAGTTTAGGATGGGTGCGCTCCGAGCACCAAGAATAAATCAGGATACATAGAAGAAAAAAATGAAGAAACTTACCCTTTATATGCACCAAGCATGCATCAGTGATGTTATTAAAAGCCAAGTTCAACACTCTGAGTTTCACAAGACCTGTGCAGCACAAGTTTCTGAGTAAGCTCAAAAATTAAATAAAAAAAATCTCAGAAAAATGCATAAATAGTTAATCATTTTAGCAGGCCTGTAAAAAGAATATTGTAGCAGTTGGTACAGGATCATTGGTTTGAACCCAACAGTTCCCTCGGCCATTTTTCCTTCCTTTACTCACCCTCTCTCTATGTCTCTCACTGATAGAAAGCTAACAGGAGAACCCTAATTCAAAAATTACAAACAAAAGACTGAAAGCCAGTCTTGCTTGCAATTAGATGCAAACATTTAAAAATCAAGATTTCTACAAAAACATTTGCATTTGTAAGTATGACCTACAAATATTGGATCAACACTTCAACAACTTCAATCTTATTCAAACTTGTTCATTAAACGATTTTATACATTTATAAGAATTATCATCAATCAAATGTAACCAAAAAATCTTAATGGATGCCTTAACGACATGAGGAGATAATTACATTGGACGATGTATTACAAATGACGTGAAATTTAGTAATGGATTATGAGAATCTTCTCCGCAGATTTCAAATCATACATGATTTGTCTTAAATAAGCATTATACATAAATATAATATCTTAAATACATGAGTAAATAAAAATTTTTCAAGGCAGTCTTATCTCTCATCAAGTTATCCTTGTAGTCCTTTCATTGCAATTTTTATATGAATGGTTAAAGCATAATAGAAAACGATGAAACTCATCCATAAATAGTTTTCCTTTGGTAGATGAAGAAAGAATGTTGCATACCCACGCTGTGACCCCATAAAGGATTGTAGACACTCTCATCCGAAAGGGGATTAAAGTCCAACTTTATAACATACCACACCTCACTCGAAATCCACCGGAAATTTTCCTCCTAGCACACACATATATAAGGGAAAACAGAACAGTACTATCCTTCTACATGGATAGAAACCATTTGCACATTATCCTATGTCACCAAGTGGGTTTTATCCATATAAACAAAGGAGAGGCTAATCATATCTGCATGTGTGTGCATGAATTTGCATGTGTATGCCGAGTTTGTGTGCAGGCAAGTACATGTCTAGGCATGTGCTTCAAGGGGGGGCGTGGAGGTATGTAAGCAAGCATGTAATGTGTACATAATTTATACTAACTAGCAACAAAGATAGATCATTGAAAAATAAACTTTGATAGCATTGACATGTGCAAATAAAGGTAGTAAATACACCCATTAAATGAGTGCAAAAAATTGGGGTAGAAAAATTAGGGAAAAAAATAACTGTAGTTAAGGTAGCATTAGATAAAAAAATGTTCAAAAAGATTAAAAAAAAGGTTTAAATTTTCTCATGAAACACTCAGCAAAAACAAATAAGATAAAAGGAGATTCATAAACCATCACAGAAATAACTAAAATAAAGAAAAGAAAAATGATAATGATAATGACAAGCATTTTATGCAATTTCAAAATTGATCACTCCCTATCTACGTAAACATTTCTTAATGAACAGTCTTAAATGTATTGAAAGAGATTATAATTTCATAAGCCAGTGTAATACAGTTAACTATGCTGCCTTGTACATGATATTTTGGCATATTAAATTTTTTTTGGCCGATGGAATGCATGGGTTAAATTAAGTTTCTAGTTGGGTTTTTATATGCCATCAAATAATGTCATTTGTTAACAACGTTATAAATCATTAAATATTTTGAAAGAAAATAAAACTTGATCCCATTTATAATTTTGTACACAACTTAATGCAAGAGAGAAGATTTAACCACAACAAAAAATTTATTCATCAAACCAATCAATTGTCAAAGTATCTATTAAATAAATAGAGTGACAAAATAAGAACAATAATTTGAAATTACATTTAAGATGAAATACTAAAAAATTCAAATTAAAATCTAGGATTAACCAAAAAGATAAATCATCCTAATAACATCAATCAAATAAAAAATAAAAAATAAATACTAAGGCATTCAACCAAAAAATGGGCAGTTCAGAAAGGCACAAAAACTAATACAACTTCAAATCAATGGTAGCCTACTTTGACTGTTTTGTAATTTACCTATGAGAATATAGAGGTTAATTTGGCTGAATAATCATCAAACAGAAATGATACTTAACAATACCAATACATATTTCATAATTAACAATAATAAAATGAATTAAAATCTAAACACAAAGATGAAATTAGACAATAGTGTGAAGCAGACGTCTCCCGCTACAGAAGCAGAAGGGGCTTCCCATGGTCCCGTGACCGTGCACGCACCCGGCTCATATGAATGGCACAAAGCCGAACAAAGCGCCTCATTTTCAATTTGTTTTCAACTTCAGCAATTTTTCTCCTTTCTTTTCATTCCATTCTAGTCATTTCATATATATGCATTGTATTAAGGTTTAGGTTTCAATTTTTTATGTTGTTTGTGTTAGGACAGCCGTCGGCTTCCCCTATTACTATACCTAAGGGCGAATAGCGCTTCGGGTATATCTCATTATGAACTGGTGATTATCCTCCAAGAGTCGAGTAGTGCTCTGGCTGTATCTCGCTCCCGAGGTGGTTTATCTTCGACTTCTCCTGCAACCTCCAAGCTTCCCGTGCACTTCCCTCCACCGCTCAGCCATCTACCATCCAGTCCAACTCCTACCACTCTCCAGCCATCCAAAATCATAGTCACAACCCCACCATCTTGACTCGTTGCCACAACCCCACCAACCCCCTCGCCTTGTTGTCTACACGCTGTCCAACCAACCGACACCATTGCCACAACTCACAAGCCCTTTGTTTGTTGTTTCGCTGCTTATCTGCCACCCTACCAATGGCCACCAACCACCATCCCTTGGATTCAACTTTTAGTTATGTTTATATGTTTGTTATTGTCGTTTCTCTGTCACGGTGTCATTTGTAACCGTCTATTTGCTTTCAATAATAATATTTACTTTTCTATTGTTGCTTGAATTAAATCTAGTATCATAATGTATCTCACATAAATATGAAAGAAGTTCTAATCCTATCAGTAGTGAACATCAATATTTCTACCAATTAAATTTTGTACACAGAGGCTCCAAAACAAAATTAACGCTATTGATCTTGATAGATCCTATGCGAATGCTTATTAAACAAAATAAAAAATGCTTTATAATGATTAAACCGGACATCAAGCAATGCAGAATAATTAGGGCACAAATATTGGTTCCCAAATCTCTTACAATTCAAGCAACTTTTAATTGAAAACATTGATCTTTGTTTAAATGCTTCCTAAGCTCATTCTATCAAACTCAAAATGACAACATTACAACGTATTTATTTAAAGTGACTGCAGTTCAAAAAGATAACTTGCATTCATATTAAATTGATTAAAAAAATTGTATATCAGTTTAAACCTCAATATAGATTGTTTAAAGGATGACTATATTAAACATCTGACCGAAAAGATCTCAATAATATGAAGAAACATGCTAAGCACGTGTTGGTTAGAATTAGTTAATTAACCTGGCATTGTGTGCAGCCAACATTGCACCGTACAAAAAAGAAAGTTATCAAGACATTCCTTCTCTTCTTAAAAACATCATATCCAATATCCCACAAAACAACAACGAAATTTTCGGCCATATTTCTCAATATATAGAAGTGTAGAAATTACAAGTAGCGTTTGTTAGTAAACTAGACTAAAATTACAATGAACCAAACATTTCAATTGATGGCAATATTAATAAAAACCAAAGTAATGACTGACCAGAAAAATTCTCACATCCCTCATCAGATAAACAGCACCGACTAAGATTCAGATATAAAAGTGAAGCAAGACCTGTCAAAAAAATAGACATCAACACCAATAAATAAATTTAGTGCTTTAAAAAAATCTCATCATACTAATAATGAGCATATGGTAACAAAGATTTTAAAATCTCATTTAACAGCATTTTCCAACTTGTGATGAGGAGAAATTTGAATTTTTTTTAATAAATAAATGGACATCAACATCCCTCATCAGATAAACAGCACCGACTAAGATTCAGATACAAAAGTAAAGCAAAACCTACCAAAAAATAGATATCAACATCAATAAATAAATTTAAGTGCTTCAAAAAAAAATCTCATGATACTAATAATGAACATATGGTAACAAAGATTTTAAAATCTCATTTAACAAAGTTTTTGGACTTAAGATGAGGTGAAATTTAAATTTTTATTAATTTAATCAGTGCACTTGTTATCATTTTCTACCCAAAAAAAGTATTCTTCATAATTGAGCTGAGATGATTAAAAACTGCCGAGTTTTAGCATCCCATTTTCCATAAAATAGAGCCTAAGGTGGCGTACAGCCCTCAAGTATTGTCAGCTTAAGCTCTGCCTAATTTTGCAATTTCGGCCACTAATTTTCAAACGCAACAATTTGATACCTATGTTCTTTTACAAGCATCGACAAACTCCATTATGATGATTTTCTTTAATATCTAGTGTTAAGCCGATAACACGTGACTCAAGAAACCATCACGGAAACATTTACAGCTAAAAAACCCCTGCAATTTGATTAAAGATTGCAGCTTGATCTCACCATTAAGCAAACCTCTAGCACTTTTGGTTTGACTTGCAGCTTAATCTTTTATCTTTTAAGTAATGCAATCTTTTACTAACATCCTAACATCAAACTATGAATTAAGAAGCATCAGAAAAACAACAAGTAAAAAACATATCAAGGTGTAAATTTAACAAGTAAATATAAGCTCAACCTATTTTTTAATAATTACTTCACTATTCATGCCAAATGCGCTCGGTTGTGTCATAGTTATTGTAATAACATCCCTCATTAATCAATTGGGATATAATACATAAATTAATCACAATTGAACAATCTTCAAATAATGATGACATACTTAACACACAATAATCAATCCATCTTCGAACATGATTTGAATGATCTAAGAATTACAATAGAGTAATCTTCTTACCATGATTAACCTTTCTTTGAATCATCTTTGATTCATTATTGAATAATGATCGCACAATTTTGCATTATGATCAAACCATCAATCTTCTAGCCAACTATCATTGAACCATGATCCATCCATGTTCAAATCGCAATCAATCAAAGATCAAGCAATCATTGAATTTTTTATTTTATGTACATTAATTTGAATTAATTTGAAAAAAAAAAAAACAGTTCATGATAATCACTTTTTGGGGAATTTTTGGTACAACGGAGCATAAAAAGTCAAAATTCCCAAAAATAAATTGAGGCAAGGGGTTCTTTAGTTAATATATATATTGTTATAAAATCAATATAAATCTTAAACATGAGGCACAAGCCTCAAATTTTGAGGCAAGGCCGCCTTACATACTATGAGACGAATGCATTACATAAAAAGCCATGAGGTGCATAACTCATATTGAAAATTCATAAAAAGCATTAAGACAAGGCTTGTATTGCACAATTTTCAGCCATGCCCCATACTTAACAAATTTTTTATCAATCCTAATCATTCGTAAATTTGAACTAGATTTACAATCAGCTAGTGAGCATTCAAATGATCTACTTAATCATCTCAGTATCATGATTACACTTTCTTTCGTGCCAAATTACATCGGGCTCTTCTCTAGTCATGCCTAATATGCTTTTAACTTTCTGATGTGAACGATAAAATAGTTCCCACATTTTGATACTTTTAAGGAACCAGCTACCACCTTTGTATGGGTGACTTCTCCTAGGTTAGGATTGCATTAATTAAATAAATCACCTCTATATTCAATAGAATTTATGTTTTGGTAATTGCAAATGATGCTGCCAATGCTCCTCTCTCTAGGTCATCAAAGACCAAGGCCTGGAAATGGATGTTACTTCTACACTTCAAAAGGTGTCTATTGCCACATAATCTTACGATTATTGAAAAAAAAAGTTGAATTCTAATGCATCCGCCAAAAGGATCATTTTGCAAAGCCTTTGACCAAAATTATTCTGATAACTCTCAGACCAATCCAAATTTAAAAAAATCTACTATAAGGGCTTAAGTACACTTAAAATAGTCAAATAATTCCTTCTATCATCAACAATGCCTGTACATAATATCAACTATCATTAGTTTATGAATCAAACAACGATAGTCCCTTCATCTGCATGAAGAAGATTTAGAGATTTTGAGTAAACCAATGAAATTGAAAATGCAAGTCAGTTGTGCTAGCCCTTGCCCAGTGATAGCTTGAGATTTGTGACTCAAACAACGATAAATCTTCATCAATTATGCGGCAATCTCATCCTTAACCCCAATCAAAGATCAAAAGAAAAAGGTAAAGATTTGGCAAATTCAATAATCGATGGAACTCGGAGAAATCTTCATTCCCGGCCGGATATAATATCAATGAAATGCAAGATATTGTTGAAGCAAAAAATTAAACCTGTCATGTTTTCTCACCCAATTCTTTTCTCCACATTATGTCTCATTGTTAGCCTTAATTATATTCACCTTGTACAGTTTGTGTTCTATCTCCTTCGATTGTTGCAATATATAAGGTGGCGAATGTTTTTCATTTAGTGTTGGGAGGCTTGCGGCTGGTGACGAACAATTATAAAATGAGCACAATTATAAAATTGCTCATTACGGCATGTGCCTTGAGGCACACCTCAATGCCTTTGCACGCTTCATAGTAAGTGACGCACCTCATTTGTAGATTAAGTTGATTTATAATTATATATATATTATATATATATATATATCAAAAAAAACAGCCCAAGGGCAATTATATTAAAGGAAAAAAGGATACAGATAGATTGTATGAGCTGGCCCAAATAGGTACCCAACCCACACGGTACAACACACACAAAAAAGAAAAATCAAAAAAGAGATGGTAAATATAAGATCAATCGAGACGACCCAATTTAAAAATGTCTCTGCCTCTAGTTCACGGAAGGGAACCAGCTAACAAATTAGTGAGGTGTGTATCATTATCTGACGTAACCAAAGTATCATCCATTAGATTACTTAGCTCAAGTAGATCTCTACTCTTCTTCTTCCTCTTATCTTCCTCCTGGAAGTGTAGACCTATCATTCCTCATCCGAAGTTTGTTGCTCATTTGAATGAGGTGGTAGAGCTGTAGTAGAAAGATTGCCAATAGTTGTACCCACAATAGGTTCTAGTATATGTGAAGTATGAGTTGTCGCCTCTATACCTGATACTTCCTGAAGATGGGGAGCAGCAAGGATCTCTTGATGATCAGTCCGAACATTATCCTTTGTAGGTAAGGATCCTTCAGCACTGTTTTCAATAGAGTTTGAAAGTGTAGGTTGCCCAGTAATGCCATCCAGCATCACAACAATCACAGAAATAGTATTGTCATAAGGGGGGGTTCCATAGAGAATCAGACGTCAAATACTGTCCTGTGATAGTTTTCTCTCCAGGTAGAACAGATATGTCTAGAGCAGTGGGGTTAGACTCATCCTTATTCACTTGATCTTTAGATTTAAAATTAGAATTGAGTTTATGACATTTATCAAGGATATGCCCAAACATCTTACAATGAGAAAAATAATGAGGTTTATCTTCCATGACGATTTGTTGTCAATATCCATTATGAGTTGTTCCCAACCAGACTTCAGTAACATCAGGTAAAGTAATATCTCTTTCTACAAGTATTCTGGTCACAGAAGGCTGGTTAGGTTGAAAGTGGGTAGATCAAGTTTCATAGGGTCCCCAAGTATGGCCCCAATAGAGCAAAGAACCTAATGATGAAAAAAATGCAGCTTAAGACCAGATAGACTAAACCATACCGGTACAGTAGGAGATTCATGATTAGGGTCAAAATCAGGAAACCACTTAAGTAACTTCATTGACTTGCCTGTAATGCTAAGATTTTTTTGGAGAAAATCTGAGTGTAGTTTTCAGCCACGGTTGATTGAATCAACACATGCTCCCATCCATGAGCCCCACATTCCACTTTCCTGCTAGTTTGAGATCATCAAAACCTTTTATGATATTTTCCATAGGTGGGTGCCCCCATTGAAATTTTCCAATAAGAACGAAATTGAATTTCTCAGTCAGGGTTGAAATTTCTAATTCAAAGAAAAAAAGTATTGTTTTCTCACTTTTCCTACTTGCATTCTTAACAAAGAGGCAGTCATTTGTATCATCACAACAATCCTTATAAATTTAGGGGAAGACAACCGCCGACTCCAACTGAGGATTACCCACGACTTCAGCAAAGGAGGTTTTGTCAGGTGCAACTGAAGAAGAAGGAAGCGTCATATGAGCAGGGAAATCCTCCTACTAGAAGCTCTCGATAAAAATGTTGTTTGCGTAGTGCCGAGAAATTAGAACGCGAAGATGCGAACTATCGGGCAGAAAGCAGCAAGCGTCGAACAGAAAGCCGCAGATGCGAACTGTCAGGCAAGTCGGCGTCGAAACAAGGACGACGCGGACTCGAACAGCTATTGACGTCGTCGTCGAAATCGAAGAGGGAACCGTCGGCGTTGAAGAAGTCGACACAAACAGACGAAGCTAAAGTGACGAGCGGAAGCGGAGTGTAGAACAGAGACGAGGTGAGAGCCCTCTCATTCGAGCGACAATCATAGGCGACGGAAATCGCCATTCGAAACCCTAGTTGAGCTATCGACCGCCAATTATATATTTATACATTTATTAATTAACCCTCATTTATTATTTAATTTTCAATTATTAGAAAAGTTATCAACTTCCTCACCCTCACGTGTCACGGTCATAGTTTGACCCAAACTATCAAGTCTAAAACACTCGTCTCAACCATCGTAATCTCCTAGCAATGCTATCATCACATCCTTGACCAGAACATTTACTCTT